TTTTGGTCTATTTGATTTTTTCGGAAATTATAGAAAATGTTACGTATTGTTAAGGCGTTGTAGGAGAGTGCTGAGTATCAGTGTTACTGTAAGTAAAAGTATCTAACCCTCTCCAGGGCCCTCTCCAGGCCATTTGGACTCGGACTTCGCCCAGAAAGCACATGCGTTACTTAAGTCTTGGTAGTAATGTGTTAGGTAGTAGTAGGAGCGCCCCACCCCCCCCCCCGCCATCCGAGAGCTCACGATTTACGCAAATGGGTCCTGTTAATATGATATGCCATAATTGGACTTTATGGGACAATACATGAAACACTACACCATTTCTGATATATAAACTGAAATACATTATTCAGCATCGGAAGAGCTTTCCAACGATACCAAACACGACTGTGACAGTAGTTTTTATATGTCTGGTTTGTTGCCTGTATAGAAATTATGATTTTAGACATCAACATCATATCTGTAGCTTATTTAGTTCCAATTATATGCACATTTTAGATAAATTTGGCGGCCATTTGTATACCAGGTGAAAAATCAAGTGTCAACAGGGCTTAGGGTGACCAGGACGGATTAATTAGGATATCTGGCTATGTTGACTGCTTCTAACATTCCACTCCCCCTAACTTGATTTCTAGGCCTCTTTTTTGATTTTTTTGCTAGTCTATTATTATTTTTATTATAATTAAGCTGGCTCCGGATAAAACGTAGATATTAGGAGGGTCGATTATATTAACTTCATGGACTTATGCACAATCTTATCAACGCCACATTTGATGAGTGTAGATATTAAGTAAATAAATATTAAGTATTAAATAGATCCTTGTCATTTGATTGGTTGATATCGTATCATGTGACATTGGTTATTATTTCGTCAAATTTAGCTCCATCCGTGCATTTTTAGTCCCATTATACTTAATTGTTCCATCCGTTGCGCTCCATTGCACGCACCTAATAAAATGTTTGCGTTGAATGAAAGAAGGTAAACTGTTCCATTCTGAAGACAGGTACCGGTAGTTGATTACCAAGTGTGTCCCCTCTATTTAGAGTCATTTAATCCTGTTTTTCCATATTTTTCCTTTTTTGATGGTACTCGTTTCCTGTTTGTTCTTTTGCTGTAGTCAACTTGCTTATAAGTCGACTTTGCCGAAATCAAATAATTAGCAAGTCGATATTATTCTACATGGCAAATTGTTGTGCTTTTCATTAATTAACAATCTGAAGTCAAATTTTTACGATTTCTTTAAAAAGAATGCCAATTTGGATTCGACTTGGGTATTCTTAACTTGTATATATTTCTGTGGTAGAGTTGAATCTTTTTCTTAGGCCTTTTCTTTGTTATGGATGCACCGCCTACGCGGCTGAGTGCCACTGATATAAAAGTGTATATCCGAATAAATTATTATTATACATACGTTGCCAATGCCGTAGCCAGCTATTGGGACAGTTAGGACAGTCCCACACAATTTTTCTAATGGGTTCACAAAGAATGGGTCCACATTTTTAAAAATAGGTCCAAATTATGTAATTTTATGCATAAAATGGGTTATTTTTTTTGAAAAATGGGTCCAGATTTCTCATATTTAGCGTATGGGTAAAATTTAAGAAAATGGGTCCAGATTCATATTTTGCGCGTAAAATGGGTCCACATCGTTTGAATTTACGCGTAAAGTGGGTCCACCCTGATATTGTCCCGCACTGTTTGAAAATCCTGGCTACGGCATTGTACGTTGCTGTGTAAAACGTGTACTGATTGACTCGACTCCGCCTCGTTTAATGCAACAATCAGTCGTTCAACTCATGGAAATATTCTTTCCATTGCACTCATAAACATACACACCTAAACCCGTGTCATAACATAGGTTACTGTATTTACACCATTTCTTCACTCGTCATGAACATTTTAATTCCATTTATTATGCATGCTTTGATCTATTCGTTTTGCCCTTAAAGTTCAACGTACAAAGTATTCAGCTCAAACAAGGTGGACGGCTCCATTCAAAAGAATAGACCTAACTTTTTTCTTAAAATATCAAATGACAAGGATCTTTGATCAAATAATAAAAGTTTTGTTCACCCACCCACCGTAACTCACCGTGCACCACTCTAAATGAGTTGTGAACGCGGCTGGAGGCCTGTTGTGGCCCTCTATTAGCCCGGGTTTATGGAAAGAATATTTTCATTGTTAAAAGATTGACAGTCAGTCTTTCAACTCATGAAAATATTCTTTTCATTGCACTTGACTTGATTTGACTTGACTTTATTCAGTATACCGCAACATCATAACAATAAATAGCAAATAACAATGATTTTCTTAAAGTTAAAACATATTTAAAATAGGGAAAAAGATTAAAATTAAACTCAATAAAATGCGATGTTATACTAGGAGAGCCCATGAAATTTGTATAAAAACGTCTTATTTCCAATGAGGTCCTTAAGAAAAAAACAAACAAAAGAAATAAAGTTCACTCAAAGGGTTACTTTGCATAAAAAGGTTAAAATTGCATAATGTTAATACAATTATTAATTTTAAAAGTATAAAATTACACGGTTAAAATTTATCAGTTTAAAACAATGTATTAAGATATAAAAAATGGTAAGAACAATACTTTTAAAACATAATAGAGTAAAAAATAAGTAAAAATGTAAATGGTTGTTTTATTAAAACTATTTCAGTATTTACATTTTGCATTAAAAACTGCCCTAAATTAATTACAGCATTTCTGTTTGATTTGCGAGATAGCGTGTTTTTTTATCTTAATAGTTGACACTCATAAACATGCATTATTTGTATAATACTGGGATTGGGATGAGAGACCAAATCCGCCACATTTTCCTAAATGGAGGGCCTCAGCCTATTACTCATTACAGCTTTCACCAAAGGCTTCACTAGGCCTATGTTTCTTCTGTTAATAGTGCATGGCTGGATTTTACATGCAATATACAAACAGGCCTGAGATCTAGCGGTTTATGAGATTTTGATAAAGAACTTTTAGTTATGTCATAATAACATCTGTAACCTCTAGCTTTACTTCATCCCCACTACAGCATGGAGGAAATATGTCAATATATTTCCTCCATGCTTACATTTTGAAAGTGTCCTTGGCTGGATCGTATTGCGATTAAATACAGTATAGCACTCGCCTTGAATAGCGAGAAATTTGGGTTAGATTCCACTGGAAACACATTTTCAAACAATTTTTAAAGACCTTTTTCGCTGTATAGGCTACTTCTGATACAATATTTAAAACATTGCTCCTTTTTTTTTTTTTTTTTAACAATTTATTGTTCATATGGGCCTATAATTATATAAATCACAGTTTTTCGCAGCAACATTCATTATACATTTATTCATAAACAAAATAGACAAATAATAGAAATATTGCTCAATTATAGGAACATATATTTCAATAGTATCAAGGATAGCTCGATCTGCAACGAAAAAATATTTTTAACAGTTGTATGAAAGTGTGTGGCGGGACTAGAGAAGGCAAGCATTCAATTTTCTTGAAAAGTATTACCGCGCCCTCTATGCTATCTTCGACCGGCGGCGGGGCATTTAGTCAAAAAACACCACGAACGAAACAAATGCATCTGTAAGCTTTCAAGTTTGTAGCCAGGCTTGGTTTTATTTACGGTTTTTGGGCCACCAGGCAAAGGTATGGTCATTCCTTATAATAATGTATACTTTCATTATTCGTGTACCAAATTATGCAACCAACCACAACGATGTGCATAGGAAAAGGGCCGGCCTTACTGTATATTGATCTTATTTTTTAGGCCTGGGCCTAGGCCTAGACCAGGACCTAGGCCCTAGGCCTAGCTAGGCCCCTAGGTAAGCCCTAAGTTAAGCCTAGACTAGGTCTAGGTATGGGTAGTAGTATTAGAGTAGGCTAGTTCTAGGCTAGGTCTGGTACCTACGCATGGGTATTTATCACCAGTGCAATGAGAGTATAGGCCTACGCCTGGGGGCATACTGTATTACTGTACTTGCTTGTAACTTCTGGACCGGTAGAAAGCAAAAGAAATTGTATATGAACGAGCCTGGCCTTAGCCTAGCCTACAGCAGGCTAGGCCTTGGCCTACCTTCTATTATTTAGCCTACAGTACACATAGGGCCTAGGGAAGGCATGCTTAGTTAGGATAGTGGAAACTTTTTTTTTTTTTACTCTGCATTTATAGGCCTCAGCTACTGTGTAAGGCCTTTTTCACGAATCGGTAGACATTTTGAAATGATGACAAACATTGCGAATCAGCAATGCGTAACCAACAGAAATAAGATAAGCTTTTGGGCTGATTTTCTGACATCATGTTATTTAAAAAATCATAACTCCATAACGGGGTGTCATATCCAAAAAATTCTTCTAGCAAAATGTTCTTAAAAGACTAGTCTACACCACTATATGATTGAAAAAAGTTTTTGACCTCTGAAATCAAGATGGAAAAAGAAAAGCCTATCTAAGTAGTGTATTAAAATAGGCCTATGCATTACAGAAAAATTTTTTTTTTTTTTTTTTTTTTGCATGGAAGGGAGGGGTGGGTGGTGAGATTATACCTGGGTGTTCCTGTGTGCATGAACAGGACGAAAATGACATCTCTTTTGGCAGATGCAATTTAACAATTGCCCTGCAATTCAATGGCATCTCCAAAACAATATTCCGGTGAAAAAATCGGACATTACTCGAGCATCAAAGGCAAGGGAACACCCCAAGGCTTTGGTCTTTACCTCGAGCTAGGCCAGCCTTTACCTAAACTTTCTTTCTCAATGTCGAAGGTTACAACAATCAATCTAACCAAACACACCCATCGCAAAGGAAGACCGCCCACTTGTAATGAATGATAAGTTATTTTTAGCAGCAAGAGTCTCTGTGTGGGTGAGTCTTCACGCTGTGAATCAAGGATCTGATCAGCCCACCGAGCGGGTCTGTGTAGGGACGGACCGCGGTGTTGCCTATTTTTAGCCGCCGTAGTGAGCTGTTTATTTTTAGTGATAGTGAACTACAAATTTAAAGAATGGGCTTTGTATTCAACTTTACGGTGATCCCAATGTCTGGTCTAATCAATTGGAAGAGTTTGAAATTTGCCGAATTCGGAGCCAATCCCTTTATATTTTGTGAGCATTTGTTTTTTGTAATGTTGTTTTATGCATTTAAAATAAATGATGCGACCAAAATAATAAATAGATAAATAAAAAAAATAAAAAATTGTTTCCTCATCAATATTTCCAAAATTTTTGACATTGGTGGGAGTGATAATCTAATAAATTTTTCTATATGCCCTAGCAGAATCTGTTTCCTAAAACTCCAATCCCCTCCTCCCAACAACAATAAGATTTGACCAATCAACAGTTAGTGTTTGTTGCTTGTCATAATTGTGTTTCATATCAGATGCACATCATGCAGTATCCACTCAGAGATGTTTTATTTCTGTGGATGATTCATTTGTTTCCTGATCTTACTTTTATTTCTAGCTGCCAAACAAGTTACAATGTTAGAAAGACAAGAGCGTCAATAAAGAAGAGTTAATTGAGAAAGGAGGCTTATGATGCTTGAACACAATGAGCAAGCTGATTCGGCAACAGAGCTCTCACCTCCACCTTCCACCAGCCTCAAACAGGATGTCAGTAACGAGAACCAAAGAAAACATTTTAGAGAAAAGAATGCAAATCAGACCCCTTTAAGGAACCGTTACAGTATTGCAGGGCGGACTCCGTTGTCACCTGGATATGGGGCTGTCGTGTCTGCACTTAGTAAGCTCAATCGTTTGGATGATTTTGTCTTAGAACCACTGGCTAAAGGATTTTTTTCTGATGTATCTAAGGTAAGAATATTCTTACAACACATAGCTACAGTACTGTAAACCATTAAGATATCATCCTGGCACAAAAATATTGTATTAGGAAGATTGTATTTACAAAAATGCCTCTACAGTAGCACCAAATCTGTACACATAGTAGCCCAAAACTAGTTGCCTGAGCAACAAAATTTAAAACTAGACTTTTTCCATGTCTGTAAAACAGAACATAGGGCTTTTTTTCAATGCCGTGATATGATACAATATTCGTCTACCTTTCTGTTATTCATGGTATAAATACAAATAGGTTAATGAAAAATAAGTAAAAAGTGGGAAAAATTAAAATTATGTATCGTCAGTGACATACCAGGATTTAAAGAATACATTAAACTCCCCCTCCCCGAAAATTAAAAAAAAACCAACTCAGCGCTACAGTAGGGATGTGAAGTGGAGAGTTCCAACCATTGCACTACAGTAGAACCCACCCCTGATGAAGTTCTCTAGATAGTCTTTCAGCCATGTGTATCTAGGTATAATTTTTGCCCTACCTGACGTGGAAATGTACTGAATACAGTACTCAGTACGTTTGAAAACAATTGCGGAAAAAATCGCAAGTTGTTCTCGGGTGGATACAATGGGTTCTTTAAAGTGCACACAAGCCAGATGTATAGAATGAACCTCCATTTTAAGTCCTTATCCAAGAAGACTTGGTTCTACCAACCGAACCATAGGCGAGGAGTGGCTGGAACCAGCGCCTGTGTAAAGGCTGTAGCTAACGGCACCCCGCCTTACCGCTCGGCCACATAACTGTGTAATGGGGTGTGCTATTGATAGGATTAAATTATAATCAACTAGTTTTTAATTCATTTCTTGGTTCGAGCGTTCAAGCTAGTCCACACCTCGAACGTGTTGAGACTTTGTTATGAAGTGCTATAAAAACCCAACTACATCATTACACTGTATTTAACAAATACAAAATTTGTTGAAGAAAGACCACTGAGATCTCTAAATTGACTGTGTGTAGGAATCACTTCCTTCTTCATTGCAGTCTTTGTGCATGTTTAGTGTTTGGTGTTTTATTCTTTAAACAGACTAGAGTTTGAATTGGTAACATTGGCCCAACTGTTCAATAAAGACCTTGGTATTTTGTCATGGTTATTATTCATATTATCATTTCCTGTTTGTATCCGCTTGGTCAGATTGAATAGCCACTGGTATAAGCTTGTCGGATAACAACCATTAGTAGTAAACTCTTTTTTTGTTCATTACAACAGCTACTTCACATTTCCATTTATAAATAGAGAAGTGATGCTGTACAAGTTTCACTATCAATAGTAATAGCGAGCTTTTGAAATGGGCGCCGCGGAGAGCTGCGACGGGGAATTCAGTCAACCATGAACGTCATACTATGCACTTCCCGTCTCAACATCAAAGCTGTTTCGATTTACAGGACGACGCGCTCCCTCGTATCCCGTGATCAGTTATGCAGGCGCCCCCAGTGAGCATGTATTTATGAAACTGGCGTTGCCGTAGTCAACACAACGTCAAATTGTTTGAAGCCCATTGTCAAATCCACGAACGACTTCCCTATGTATTCGCATGCGCAGTACAGTTTCACGCTCCACTGCCCGTCGTAGAACGCTGTGTTATCCAAATCGAAAGCTGCTTATTGTCTTGAGCTAGGTAGTCACATACAAGGAATCAAACTCCGCTCCATATCAGGGCTATACGACGCAATGCTGATTATCGGGGCAGTCACGACGGATCATCATTAAAACTATCCATTGCGCGCATGTCACGTTCTTTGTAGAATCGTGTTTTGGCCGACGACCGTCAGGTGCAGTAAGCACCCCGTTTTACAGTACATAAAAAGAAAAAGGATTTGAGGCTTGCGATCCCAAAACCAGCGTACTGTCGCTAATTGTTAAGCTGGACTTTACAGTATTTGGCATAAGAATGTGTCAGTATTGTATACTTTAGTACAGACAAGCCGTATTACTTTTACTCATAACTTTGGCAGTAGTAAGTAGATTCCTGTAAAATACCCATCATTTTAAAGCATAATGTGGAGAATAAGAATATATATACATTTTAATTTTTTGATTATTGATGCTGGTTATGGGACGGCAAGCCTCAACTGTAGTATACACCTATGTTGTGAGTTCCCCTGCAGTGTTTTGCAAGGCATGATGATGTCATATTGTGACAATATTATGTGTGATAACATTAAATACAAATCACAGATATTTGTCATATAAAATATTATGTGTGAACACAACTTTGTACTGAGTTTTTCAACGTTATCATCACATAGCAATCGTTCAGTATGTGAGCCTCATAAAATATCAAATGGTTTTGTAATTAACCTTCTAGACATTATATTCGAACATTCTGTTATTACAAAATTCTAAATAGTCTAAATAGTCAGCTATTAAATTTACCTATATACTGTTTTAAAAACACCTTGTTTTTTTAGTCCTAGTACCGGGATAGGACTTCTATAAAACATCTTCTAGTGGCAAGGAGAGGGACCTCAATGGTCCCCCTCCCCCTCCAATCTTCCTAAATGATGTTCTACAGTAGGTTCTTTAAAGAGCACACAAGCTAGTTGTTTTAACAAGTCCTACTATGAAGCTGCAATCGAATTTTGAGACGATGATTAGTGTTATCATACTTGTTTATTCCTGAAGGAACAGCCCAGAAAACTTACCAAACTTACCAAGACAAGCAGTTAGTTTAACCGAGTGGATTGTGCCCAGTAAATCTGACCAGGTAAAGGTAGGGTAATAATGCCCCTTTTACTCTTCCAGAGCGATTGCAGCTTTTGTAGATTGCATACACTATTACAACTTACCTGGTACAGAATGGTAAACATTATTTTTTTATCAAACTGCAATTGTGTCAGTCATGTAAACATCACATTACATTAGTTTTCGATTGAATTTTCAATTGATTGATTGGTTGATTAATTGGTTGATTGGTTGATTGGTTGATTGATAGATTGATAGATAGATTGATTGAATGAAGTTTCTAACCATACTGTAGTATTTCATTGTATACTGTTGGTGGTTTACATTCCGTAGAAACCAGTGTACAATCTGTTTTCTGAATTTCTTGTTCAAGTTCATCTTGCAATATTTGCATTGCCAATTTAAGAAATTCGAATATAAAAGACATGTGATGTTTACCTGGTGAGTTGGAATGTAGGTATGACAGTTAAGTATGCACTTGATATGTAATCTGAGATTCATCTAGGTGGACTTACGTGTTGGAGCTATTGTTGTTAGAGTCCACTTTTCTGTAAAGTTTACTCACTCAGTTACAACTAAAAAATGATAAGATGCAGAGTGTTTGAATTGGCTCATACAGGTACCTTGGTCATCAGTCGAACAGTGAATAATATTAAAGTTGCTTGTGAAACACCTTTGAATGAATGAAAACCGTTCTGTTTTTATGTTTAATTAGGATATTTTATTGGCTTATTATTTCATTATACTGTACAGTAATTTTCCATTATTGTCAGCTAATTACAGTGAATCCAGGGGTGGGTCTAACATTTTTTTTTCTAATGTGGGAGGGGGGGGGGGGTCACAACATTTTCAGAATTCAGAATAGATAATAGATAATGAGTAGCGTAATTTCAATATAAGCATTGAAATTTGAAAAATTAGTGGCAAAACAGGGGGCATTCAACCTTGGAATCTAATGATTATGAGTCTAAAAAGAGAGGGAAAATGGGTGTCCAGATCTGTTACATCATGTCTTGTGATATTGTCGATTTTGTGAATACTCACTTGGATAATAATACCTAGAAAATTAAAAACTATTGATGCAGCACCAAGAGGTGTTTTATACAGTAATAATCAATTCTTACTTTATCCTGACCTACTTCTTTCACTTCCCCTTTCCCCAACCCTTAAAAATGATGAAAATGATACCAAGACTCCTTAGAAAAGATCACTGAGTACTTTGAAAGGGGTTTGCCTCTTGTCAGACTGACAGGTTTGTGCTCTTCAGTATTTGAATATTAAGTTCAAGAGAAATGCAGTGATTGATATAGCATTTACCTTCTACTCTAATTCTACACTAATCACAAAATGACTGCCATATATATGGCTACAAGGAGATTATCGTAATGGAACTACTAGGAGAGGAATTGCAACAAAATGCCAATCAGGTTTACGAATGTACTTTGCTTTTAAAAGCAAATAGTAGTTGAGATGATCTAGATGAACACTAGCAGTTATTTCTATTACGTATTGACCTTAATGGAAAGCTTCAAATGATAATACTGCATGCTTATGGCAGGTCATTTTCAGACACACATCATCTTAAATCTCCAAGGTTAAATACAGGCACATTTAAATTTTTTTCATTTTATTTTTTATAGCAGTCCATAAAAAGAAGGCCGCTAAAGAACAAATTCAGCCTTCCTTTAATCACTTTTTATCCTGTTTTATTTTTGGTCATGTAACTAAGAACTTATCTTAGAATGTCAAAAAGTTTTAACTTTATGTTTAAAGATTATTTTAAAATAAAAAGAATGAACGAAATAAGAGCCATCGTTGTTTTGTCGAAGTACTGACATAGTACAAAACAAAACAGGGGTTTCAGCAAGGACTGTATATTACTGCCATTACCACTAATAGGGCACGTTGCATGGATGGTGCGGTCAGGTAAGGATGTGTTCTAAAGAACATAAGTTTGTGAGTTCCAATTGTGTCTTGGTATTCAATTTTTTTTTTTTTCAATTTTAAGAAATTTTCTTTTTTGCAATTTTAAGATATTTCGATTTTGTAAATGAACACTCTAAATATTTTTTTTTTGTACAAATAAACAAATTATTTAAAAGTTTTTATCTTATTAGCTTTTCCAAAAAAAACCAATATAATAACTTGCGCCTGTACCGTATTTTAGCATGGAGGAACGGGTGGACTAGTGAGCGGTCGCTCTTGCTTTTACTAATGATGATATTAATGTAGTAGACTTCTTTGTCACCAATAAAAGCAAATTGTGTTTTGTGCCAT